GTAGAGTGTGTATATGTGACTTACCACAACATTATCAAGAACGACTGTAATAAATTCATCACGATCGTAACGTGACATGGTGTGGAAGAGCCCAAGCGCGTGACCGAGTTCATGTGTAGCGATTCCAACCTTAATTTTGTGCTGCGGTAAGCGGAGAGCGATTGTTACGTGAGAATTCATGTCAGTTCCATAATGTTTCTCGAGTGAACTTCACAAACGTATCCACATTTTACCTGATCACAGCCACAGCCTACATAGGACCAGCAGCCATCCTTCTTTGATAAGCACAATGCTGTTTTCAGCTGAAATGTCATATATTGGTCATCTCACCATTGACCGCTTCTTCAGCGACGAGTGACCTTATCTTCGGTGAAATTGAGGCATGTTGCTTCTTCCCATTGTTTCGCCCCCTTTTCGAATATTCGCTTTGTAATGAAAGTACTTTTGTTTTGTGAACACTATCAACTGACTCAATACAAATGAGGTCTAAGAAAAATAAAGCTCTGAAACTGACCTACACCATCGTCGAAGCGGTAGAAGACTCCTTGCTGCCACGTGGTGTTAGGATATGCTTGATCCTTGAACGCTTGTCTTTTGGATCGACCGGACGTTCCTTCGACGCCTTCCATTAATTCTTCTTGTTGCCTTCTGGACATGGCTAATTCAAAGAATGTTGTGTGTCTTATAGAACGAGCTGATCAACTGACTTTGTCAGTAGGATATCACTCTGGAAAAGAACTTTGCCGACGTTCTTTTCTGAATTGATTTCGAATATCGTGTCTTTCAAGTCTTCAACGGTATCATCTCGTCTCTCCTCAATTTCCTAAAATAATTGCGCTATCACTGGATAATGATTCCACTGATTTCATTTGTGCACTTACCTTGAGCTTGCGATCAATTTCTGCTTTCTTTTCATTCGATAGTTGAAGCTTTTTCATCATCTTACTTCTCAACTCACCAGGAAAGGTCAACAGGTCAGCCCGGCCATATGCATTGAATGCACATCATTGTACAGTCGTCATCCTTGCACTTGATAGTCAATGTCAGTGCGGCTGCGTGCGGCGCGGTCGCCCGCACCCGTACTGCACCAATCGTTGAACCAGGAAGTGACATTACTGTATTATATCCTTCGTGTTACTCGTTTTCTATCACTTTTTGTCTAATCACCCGGTTTGTGTCGCATACGGCCGTTTCTAAACGAAAAGGCTGAGAAGGTCCTTCAAACAGTGCTGCTAGCTCCTTGTCGCCTGACACCCCCCTATCAGAGCGGCAAGATAACCGACTGTACTCATCCTGACACGCTGAACCTCGAAAGTTATCTCTCACACATTGCGGAAGCGATCCTGTGAGTGGAGTTATACCCAGGAGGTTTCTCGTTTACTGTTCTTTCCTTCTTCCAGGCGCGCTGTGCGTACGAAGCGTTGGCACTTGCTATGCGCGACTCCAACAGCGCTCGTCGCGCAATTAATTGCAATCATATTCGATTTCACAGGGGTCGAGAGGGGGTAGGCCTTTCAACAGAAGAACGTCCGACTTCTTTACTTTATGCGAAAATCTGAGGTTTCTAACTCAACTTCGAAAAAATGAATATGGATAAGTCATTTCTGATCTGATAGCTAACATCGTACTACGACTAGCATACTGGTGATGACTGGTCTTCGAACTGAAATAACTCTTCAGTCATGTCTTTTTCGCAAAGAACAATATCTGGCTCACTTATTCGTGTCGTCTGCATCATTTTCCTGATTACCGGTAGGAATTCCATCCCGAGAGCAGTCATGTCGATCGTAGGCGAGCTCCAAACCGCTGATACCCATGAATAAGTCCATTTTTCCAAGTTACGTCGAAATATCAGATTCGGCTAGAAACTTGTTTCCCAGGGCGTAATTTGACCCGCTGAACACGAATATTAGGTATCATATTGCAAAAACCCTTGTGACATGCGCTACGGGGGGGGACAAGCACAAGCACTCTTTTGGGCCGTAATGGGTGTACACTTTCGAAAAAAAAAACTGGTCGCAGTTTCCTTATAGGGTAGTGCAGGCGAGCAGAGATGTTAGAAGCTTTGTCGGCCATGTTCTTGGACAAATGCAAAAAAACGCCCTGCCGAGAACCGATCCTACGACGTCTCGCCTAGTAAACCCGCTCGCTATCCGTTGCGCTCTACTGCCACGTTTCAAGAGGACTCCATACGTATATGTAAAGACGCTTCCACGTTTCCTCGCGATAGCATGTGAAACAACCACGCGGGGATAAAACCCTCCATAACTCCGTTCAGAGAGTCGTTCCGCAAATTCTGAAGGTAGATTCGAGTTCACCGTCCCAAGACGCGTACAACGGTGTGCACCTCATTGGAAATGGCCGGGCTGACCTGTTGACCTTTCCTGGTCAGTCAGTTTGCTGCCAAGTGAAAGAACGCCAGTCTTTTCGAAGAGCTTAAAAGTGCCGCAGCGCTTAGTAATTACAACTTCCAAAGTATCCGTCAGCGTATACCTTTTTGAACTTCGAGAGTGTTGCGGCTTTGAATTTTTTCGCCGAGATTTCCTCCTTTGAAGAATTCTTTGACTTTGCCAAGATCCAGCAAACCTGCGTGGGTCGCCACAGCTAAGAAGAGCAGAAGCAGAATGAGCCTCATTCCTGAACTTCCAGATGAAATTTCATCTTCTGAAAAGGTCTGAAAAGCATTGAAGAGTGTGATTTCCTAGGAGGGGACCAACTGTGAAGAGCGTAGGCCGATGAGGAAGGAGCTACCCTTCACTTTTATACACCAACACGCTATGCTTGGCCGAGTTTGAACAACTGCTCTGGACCAATCCTATGTACAGAAACAAGACTTTACTGTGCGGTGTGACTGCTTGC